GCTGAAATCGGAATGGAAATGTACTATCCATAAATTATGTGTATGCAACAAATTCTCTAAACTTGGTTCTAAATACATATCACACGTTTAAATTGGTGGAACTTGTGATCCTTTCAGATGATAGAGGGTTCAATATCTAAAATGACCGTAAAACAAGAAGAAAGACTAACTTCAGTTACAACAAAGCTAATACCTTTCAGAGGTGCATTTCTTATAGCACTTATATGTATTTAAAAAGAAAAAAAATCATTTATAACAAGTAAAGAAGGGCTAAGTTCGGATGTAACCGAACATTTTATACTCTCGCAAAGTCATATGGTATACTCGTTTTAGATTTCTTTGTGGATCTTGCCGCCTTGTTCTATGTTGACCGATATTTTCGGTAAAAAGTCACCTATTGGCACTGGGGTCCACATATTCATTACCTAGAGGCTTGAACAGTTTTGACTCGATTTAGACAATTTTTGGTCACAAGGTGGCATACTTTAAACGTATTATTTACGCAAAGTTTTACCCCGATATAATCATAATTGCTTGATATGCATAGTGGAAAGTGAAAGAATCAGATGGATTTGAAAATGGTGTTATATGGGAAATAGGCGTGGTTGTAGTCCGATTTCGCCCATTTTCGCACTATAACACAGAAATATGAAAATAACGTTATGCACCGAATTTGGTTGAAATTGGTTAAGCAGATCTCAATATATGGGTTTTCACCTAAAAGTGAGCGGTGCCACGCCCACTGTGTAATTTTGAACGCGGTTCCTATAAAGTCATCTCATAACATTACAGAGATAAAACTTAATGTCTCTGGCGTGTTTAGTGCTTGATTTATCGCGCTTTTAGTAGTTTTTAACAGTACCGGTATATGGTTAGTGGGCGGAGTTGCCACCCGATTTCAACTACTTTCACACTGTAGGTAGAGGTTCTAAAAACATTTGCTTTCAATGAATTTTGTTATTATAGCATTAGCGGGTTAGGAGATATGCACATTAAACATATTAGGGGCGGGACCATGCCCATTTTCAAAAAAAATTTAACTGGAGATGCCCCTTCCAAATGTGATCCTGTGTACCAAATAACAGTCTTGTATCTTATTGCGGAGCTTAGTTATGGCAAGTTATTTGTTTTTGATTAATGGCGTTTTGTGGGCGTGGCAGTGGTCCGATTACGCCCATCTGCAATACCAACCGTCTTACGGTGCCAAGAAACATGCGTACCAAGTTTCATAAAGATATCTCAATTTTACTCAAGTTAGAGCTTGCACGGACGGACGGACGGACGGACGGACGGACGGACAGACAGTCACCCGGATTTCAACCCGTCTCTTCATCCTGATCATTTATATATACATAACCCTATATCTAACTCGATTAGTTTTAGGTGGTACAAACAACCGTTAGGTGAACAAAACTATTATAAATTTTTGGTTTTTACTGAATTCACGCTAAGAAATTGAATTAGAGTTTCGAAACAGTGAACATGTGACCATCGCTCATAATTTTTTGAATATAAGCTTTTTTAAACTAGGACCACGTTCACATATTTACTTATTATTATATACCGAAAATAGATAATTAAATTAAAATTTCCGTACATATCGTTAATATTAATATGAAACTGAGCGGAATTGGAACCATGAAAAAAATTTAAAAATGAAAAGGAGTGTTGAATTGCATAGCAGTGAACTGTTATGAAAGATTAACGAGCGGGCGGTCCCTTCGTCTTTCTTCGTCGGGCCCTCGGCTGTAAAAAAAACCGATTGCGCGACAAAACAGTCCTCATATGAACACAGCCTTGGGTATTTATTTTAATACATATCTTGGAATACATATTTTAGATTGCTTATCAAATTTGCGCTGAAATATCGTAATGACGCAATACTATTTAACACTTTATATAACTAAATTTAGAAAAGTGCTCTTAAATACACTTATATTTGAATATAGAGAACAGAATTAGCATTATACGACATCATTTGTATAAAAACCCAACTGAAAGCTTTCCACATTTATACCCATTGCACTTTGTAAGTCTTATATAAATAAGATGAATTAAAGTTCTTTATGTTCGTGGTATAAATTTCAATGTATTAAAGACCGTCCGTCGAGCCCCTATGAACCTACAAGTGAAAGCAATCAAGAGGCGCTTTTATTGTGACTGTTGTAAATATTTGGCGGCAAAAGATTCAAGTGGCAACACTTGAAATTTTCTCAACGACAATTTTATGGAGTCGCTAGTGCTACTGAGCCCTCAACTCAAAGCCAACGAAACTATAATAAATGCAATAAAATGGAACAAAATGGTGAAGGATAAGTAAACGAAATGTGCACAAAGCAAAAGGACACTTCTTAGCGCGGCCATATTTCACATATGAACACTCAATTGGACGGCTAGAAGCCAAACAAACGGTTTTATTTGGCTCCAAGTGTTTGGCGTGTGTATACCCAGCAAAGAAATAAATTAGTTGTGAATCACTTTGAGATTAGTATCAGCTATAAACTGAAAAAATCAAGTTGGGTTAGGTTAAAAGGTCGATCGTCTGACAGACGCTAAAATGGGAAACTAGCAATACCGGCCTGTGATTGGATCCTTTTTTTAAGAGGAAAATCACAAAGTGCTAATGGTTGTTGCCAAGTTGTCCTAAACGGTGGCAACACAGTACAGTACACAACCCCTCTACACTATTAACAGACTACCGATAAAAGGCGCCCGTAATAGCTGAGGCAGTAGGTATCTCCAGAGAATGCGTAGGTCATAAGTACATATATCCTACATGAAATATACGGCATAAGAAAGATGGGTGATAGTGCCGTTAAAGCTCAACAAAGGAGTTTCTTCATCATTTGGTGATCATCGTTTTGTGGAGTTCAAAAAGGTGACAGAGCTATATTATGGCTCCAACGGCGAATAAAAAATGTTCTTCCGAAATGGCAACGCACCGGCTCACACATACTCGTACGCTGTCGCCAAGACCAATTACCGATTTAGGGTAGGAACTACAACTCCAGCCACGATATTTTGATTAGGCTCGTGGGGCTTCTTTTATATTCCAAGTCATTCTTCCAGCAGAAATTTTAGTCTAATGAGCAGGTTATCGCCGGCACAGAATCTATTCTGCAGACCTTTACGAAACCTGACGTCAAATACTTGTACGTGTATGTTGAGCTAGAAGGAAATCTTACAAAAATAGATCGACATTATTTCAAATTTTTACAGCATAATTCACTACTGGGTTATTTACTACGCACAACGGTACCGTGATTAACCCCCAACACGGTCATAATAATGCTAGCAGATTTCGCATTTATTTCCTACCAGATCTTCACTTAGTCGCCGAAAATTGTACGAAAGTAAGAAGAGTTGAATTGCACATTTGCAGTCCATTCGCTTAAGCAGACAGTGACAAATTTTATGAAGTGCCCTTACAGATGTACATATGTACGCGCACTATTGGCATCACACATATCCACAAGTACATACATTTTTATACACTACATGTATATATGGCGTGTATGTCGTCGCTTGCGCACGCGATTTTTTATGTTCACACGCATACGCTTCGTTGGCCCGAAATCTCAAGTGGTCAATAAAGTAAGTGTCATTTGCCCGGAATGGCTTTAGAAGAAATTCACTGGAACCCTTAATATGCGCAGCATAAAAAAGTCAGCACACAATTACAAAAATGTCCACAAAATTTCTCTATATATCCACACATCTGCGCCGCATTAGAGGAAGTGGTCAAACGGCAACAGGAAATGAATGCGAATTCCGTTAGCGCATATGCTTTGTTATAAAGTGTCATTGTACAAATGGTCTTTAGAAGCGGGAAATTTGAAAGCAGAGAGAAGCCACACAAAAAACATGATTTGAAGTATTTCTGTGTATGTGCTATGAAGAAGTGAAGAAATTTTAGCGAAGAGGAAATTGAACTAGGTACGAAATATACTCGTAACAAATTGTATTTCGTTCCCCTAATGTAAACGGGTAATAAAATTGTGTTAGCAACTAAAAGAGTGGAAAATCTTGTACCTAATTTAAAACAATCGCATTTGTGACATGATGTGCTATATTTCAGTTGCATTATAGCAGTTCTATATGGCAGCGGCTCTCAGGAATTCAGGAGTGATTTAATATTCGCAATCCTTTGTAAAATGATAATAAAGCGAAGAAAGTTGGAACCAATGACTTTAACACTAGATCCATCCATTAAAAGCATTCATCTAGACGATGAAAAAGCTATTGAAAAAAATGTATCGATGAACTTATGCAATGCAGAAACTGGCTACTTACCAAAAGCCTTTCTTTGATACACTACAAAATTCAAACACTTATTCCGAAACAACATTTGCAAATCGTACAAATGTATCACGAAGAAAATAATAAATAATTGTTCAGTCGAAATAATCGCCTAGCAGAGGCAATAGTTCGAGCAACTTTTGATCGGTTTCGCGAATAATGCGCATTCTCAGAGACGCTGTACAGTGTGCACAGACGACGCTATTACTGCTGTGGAGCAGAGTATCGAAAAATTTCATTATTTCATTGGAATCATTGGTTCATATTTCTTCAAAAATGAAGTCGGCCATGAGGCATAAGGCGGAACGCAATGAACGCTATAGCGCCGTGATTAATGACTCTTTCGGGCCTCAATAGGAATATGTTTATGTAGACTTTTGGTTCCATCAAACGCCCCTAAATGCCATATACAGCTTACGAATTTATTTAAGGAAACTTTTGGTGAGCACATTTTCTAGCTTCGTGGACTTGTAGCGTGGCCTAAAATATCGTGGAAAGTGGTCGAAAAGTGTGTCTCTCGATTGGAATTTATTCAAACCAGCCGCAGTGGTCGCTTGTCCGCAATCATTTTTAAAACATAATGTCAAACTTTATAATAACGCTAACTTCTTGATCATAATAATAAATTATATGCGTTTTATTTCTTTTTGGAAATCGGAATTCTTAAAAAAAAAACCCTTTACTTATACATTGTATTTCAAGGGTTCTATATACCGTATAAGGTTTAACATTCACACAATTTCATCGATGGATTCTGGTATGAAGTATGAATTTGACGGCATCGACGAGTAATTAAACGGTTACCACTCTTTCCCACTCCAAATCCCTGATCCTCTATTAATAGAAACACAATTCTATCGCCATCGTCATCACCGTCTTCTTTTCAATCGAAATATACTCCGGTCTTAAGATCTATCGCACTTTTTAGTAAGAGTTTCGCACATTCAATCTTTAAAAACTTTAGGGCCTTTGTTTTAACTATTTTTCGATCGACAAACACGCCTCACTACCTTCTTCATCTCACATTAACATTATCATCTGTTTACAGTAGTACTCTGCTTGTTTTATGTCTTTACTCCTCCACACATACTAAAGCATAAATAAAGTCACCTGAGATACAAACTTTACTGAAACAGAAAAAAAGAAACCGCTGCTACAAGCGAATACCTACGTTGAATTAAGTAGAGAAAAGCGTCAACGTCCATCGGAGATTTTAACAACCTTAGTCAACCAGTCAACTAATCAGATATTCTCTTTCGTGCGGTTAGTGGCATAGCTGTTGATCCTTTTTATGCAGCTTGAGCCGACCAAGGATGAATAAAAGTTGCCAGCTACTGTAGAACTCTGCGGGTTCGTACGGATTTTGCGAAATTCAATTTACAACTTAAATGTGTTTATTCTGTGTTGTTTTGCTTGTCATTGCAGCGAAACTGAAAAATGCGGCGAGACAGTGCCTCATTGGCTTCAAGTTGATGCTGTGGACTTGCGGCTGCCACTCTTCTGCCATACCACTAGTACATGTCATTCTATATGCAAAAGAGCTAGATACAGCTATCAAGTTACTAATACGACAAAAGTATTGGAATGAGGAAATCACATACATCCATCTACCTTGATATATAACCGGTGGGTTAAGTATATACATTTGTAGGTATATCCAACAATATCAACGTTGTGTGTGGCTTCCGGATTTCCTATCAGTGGGGAGCCATCAATTTTGTTCCCAATCACTGCGAGCAGTTACCGTTCCCCTGCCGCATGTCACTAAATCCAATCAAGTCCCACACGCAAGCGCTTACCGGGCAGGTGGCATACTCGGGCACATACTTCACACTGCCATCCCGTCTAACAGCCGTAGCCGGTGTTGACTTGAGTATATTGGTAATTTATAAATAAAATGAGATTTTCACCAACGGTCCCTATCGTTGCATCAATTGTTGTTTTTCTTCTGCCGATTACTCGTGTGCGATTGAATTAGTTTAATGGAAGTTGGCTCCTTAAAATCACATATTTAAATTTGAAAATAATTCAATAAAGTTTAAAAGAAGTTACACTGAGAAAATAGTAGCCCATACTTATGTTATAATCTCTTTTTTTTCAATTTCTATGACTATAATAACTATAATGTTGTATACGAGTTGAGCATGGTTTTTTCCGACTTCACCAATGTCTGTCTATTGAGTAATGCCAGGTAGATTTCTTTTGCGAATTCTCTTGTTCTTCATGGAATCCTTGAACATACGCTAGTCTACTATACATGGAATGTGCATCTATAGGTTATTTTTTTATAATTAATCCAACTAATCCAACACCGGGTCCTTTAGCTTAGAATTTTTTTTTTGAGTTTGGGTATTTTAATTTTGGAGATTTGTTTTTACTTTGGATTTCTGACTGAGGTAAAATACTGCCATTGTTAAGAATATTTCCTACTTATTAACTAACTTTGTTATTGATATTTTTTCTTAGCCCCACCACTGATAACTAAGACCTCTGTTATGTATAACGCCCTTCCCATAGAATAGTATAGTTTCGGTTATGATTCTTTCTTCTGCTTGTCGAGAATTATTTCGAATGTTTCCCATTATGAGGTATTCTAAGATACCTGTTAGCCTTTACCAATGTTACCATCTTATAACTTTTAGCATTCAAAAGAAATTAACATTGAAATCTAAACATGGACATTGGATAGGTAGGAATCTTTATGCTATATTTCGGTTAAATGGATTCAGAATCTCTTACATAGTGATGCTTCTCTTGTGGAATAACTGTTTTAAGCAATTGATCGTCTAAATTGAAAAATTCGATAATACTTCTGAAAAATATGTCGAAGCATTCGATTAAGAATTCCATTGATAGAACCGTCGAAATACTGAATGTGAGCAAAAAGAATACGCCAACTCCGGTCAAAATAAAACCAAACAGCTGGAAATGGAAAAAGTAAGCAAAAACACGAGTCTAAATATTATATATATATATATTATGTAGTATTTTTTATAGACTCACTCCTTTACATAAATAAACTGTAGCGCTTAAATTATATTGCTTCAACATTTAAGATCTGAACGAGACGGTCTTCCTTTCGATATCTAATTGATGTGATTGGCCAAGTAAAATGATAACAGTGAAGATCAAAAGTGCGGAAAATAGACAGAGAGTGAACTAAAAGAAATTAGGAAGGCATTTATTAACAGATTATATACATATAAACATATGTACGTGTGTATGTCTGTGCGAAGGATCTAATACCTTTTGTAGAGTACTCAGCCTTTGTTTTCCAGTCACGGGTGTTTCCAGCAAATTTCGCTCAACATCCATATTTTCTAAATGCCACAAATACACAATAACAATAATATTCAAGTTCTCTTGACTTTAATTTCGTATGATTTTTTAAAGTTACAGTATTTTCAGGGCAAGCTGAGATATCAACTTATGGAAATGGATAATTGAATACTAAGCTGTTTGTGAATGTTTCTTGATAAATTGTGTAACATCCATACGTACACCTATTTTTGTTGTCAAGTCTTAAAGAAAACAATTCCCTTAAGGATTGTACCACAAATATTCAAGACAGTTATGTGACCTTGGCGAACGAAATTGGTACCTAGTTCTGAATATGTGAGCAAGGGTACATATTTACCGATTTTGTTCATTTTTAATATCAAAATATGATATATTAAGCCTGGTACTATTTCCAAATTTCATTAAGATACCTCACATCTTGACCGAATAAACCCTAAAACGTAAATTATCGATTTGAGAATAAATATAACATTAAGTAATTAATTTCTCCACTCTCTAATACTAGACATTTTGAATCAAAATGAAGCTTAAAATATCGCTTACATTACCTTCCCACTAAGGTCGGGTCTACATAACCGGAACGCCAAGGCAGTCAATCTGGAAGCATTCTTCAAAATAATTTTTGGATTGTTTGTTGCCACCAAAAAATAAAAAATGTTAATAAACGGGACTTAACTATCTAAAATTATTTATTCAACTGACCAGCCTTAACCAGAATGAATACCCTCATTTACTTACCATAAGAGCAGAGATCACCACATTTGGTGTTGAATATTAGTCTTTCGAAATTTAGAATTCGCTTGTATTCGAAACAAATTTTTAATTACATATATCTTCACTATTCAGACCTAATGCGATATATTGAATATTGACTACTATAACGTGTGATCCAGTTAGAGGAATTTTTTTTCCTATTTTTTTTGGCAAATTAAAATTATTCAATTTCTGTACAGAATGTGTTTCGAGCGCTTCGCTCAACTTATGCTCAACATAATCGGCCTACTTAGCGTACTATTCGCAACATCATCACCCATCTTAAGACCCAGCGTTCATTATTGGATAATATTCGATTAAATAGACCACGTTCAGTACGCAGTGAAGAAAATATAGCAGCCGTAGCTGAAAGTGTACACGAAGATCGTGTAGAGTCGATTCAGCTTCTTCAGTGTTTTTTTCTTAAAAAAATAGGGAACTTCGGAATGGATCACCCTATATATATTCAACCGGAGGTGACATTGTCTTGTATAGCTACCAAATCAGATAATATTATATTTGTTCAGTTATTCCCTTATCGAAGCGTAAGCTACATACTGTTTGTAAAGCCAGACACGCTATGGGGATCCGGAAAGGCGATATACTCGTAAACCCTTTCTAATTATAGTCATTTTGGAGCTATGCTAGAAGGGCGTCATAAAAATATAATTTTATTTTTGTACCCAAAACAGAGTATATTAAGTTTTCCACGAAGTTTTTTACACCCAGAAGGATTCATCGGAGACCCTATAAAATATATACAGAAATAATTAGCGTGACCGTCTGCCTGTCCGTCCGTATATATGGGAACTAGTTCCTTAGTTTTTGAGATATCAATCTGAAAATTTGCATAGGTTCTTTTTCCCCTAAGAAACTGCAATTTTGTCAGAACTATAAATATCAGATCACTAGAGCATATAGCTGCCGTCCACACTGAACGTCCGAAAAAATCCTTGTATGGAAACCTTTTTATTTGTGAAGGTTAAAATATATTAACAATACTATTGACAACAACGTTTATTTAGTTACTGCGCTTACTAACCTCTGTCACAGCTCTCTCTTTCTCTACAAATTGCAGGTAGCTCATTTATATCAAAAACTTTCATATAAATATAATTAAATCTTAATTTGAAATATCAAATATGTAATTATAAAAAGTTTTAATTGAATGCAGCCTTAACGTTCTATATGTTTATATATGGACTAAACTCAGCATTTATCTGACATGGATATACCTATATATTACGTCTCTTCATACAGAGTGGTTTTGGTGCTCAATGACATGGCTAGCAATCTCCTCGAAGTGTCTTAAAGCTTGTCTCTTCTTCTCCAGAACCAAGTTGTCTGATAACCGGATCAAAATTAATATAGTAAGAGTGGCCAATATGCCGAAGGCGAAGAACACAATCTGTAATGAATTGATACAAAATGCAATACATTCTTCTTTACTGTTATAATAAATAGTCTTATGGTTTACTTTGTAAATTAGTTTGAGTCTTAAGTTTTCTATTGGCTCAGCGACATTTTCTTCAATATCGATATCTTTATTTCGTGACACTGTCTTCATTGCGTCCTCTTAATGTTTTTCGTATTCTTAAAAATTCTATTGTTTATTTATTAATAAATATTTCTTAAAAAATGTTTGACTTTGAATTTATGGTGTTCTTTGGTCAAAATAAACGAAGTAAAGAATTTATTTCCAATGTTAAAGGTGGGTGCTGTATATTATATTATCATGTTTGACTCTTTTATACTTATTATCAAACTTCGATACCGTTTTGCCGTGATTTAAATTTAATTGAAAACCAGTTTTCCAATGACATCACATTGCTGAAAATAACTCGCCAATAATCTCCCTTATTTTGGTTTCCAACTGGTCTGTTGTAAATGATTTATAATAATGCAGGAAGAAGAATTATTCAAAGACATCCTTTTTACCTTTTTTACTTTCGATATATGTATAAGTACTAGAGTATAAAATTAAATCAATCGGGCTGGCGGTATATTGTAACTTGGGAAAATAAGTAAATTATTGAGAGCCAGGCTTTAAATTCACGATTACAAAGCCCCTAAATTCAAAATCTCTAAACTCAAAACCCCCGATTCCAGATTCAACAAAGAAACATCCCCAAAACACTCCTTTCTGCATTGGCGGCCCTTAACTTTCGTTTTAAACAAGTAACCCTGGGCGATCTAACACCATCATTATTTCCTTTGCTAAGATTAGAAAAAATTGGTAAAGAGCAATATTGCGATCGATCGGTGATTTGATTTTTGTTTTTGAAAAGAAAACGGTGATTATTCTCTTTCGATGCTGACCGACGAAAGCTGATTTAACAATTTTCAACGGGATTTCATGTTGGTTTTCGATGAATCAGGTACCTTGAAGACAGTTATCTCGGAGGATATCGCGACAAAATCTACTATCTCGTATTAACAAACTACCGATCAATGGTGCGGGAGATAGCCGCTATCCCAAAGCAGCTTATCAATGCGTCGCATGAGAAAAATTTTGCATAAAATACTGGGCACTAAAAACCTATCAGCACTATGGTTGCCATGTTAACTCACTCCAAACAACAATCGCAATCATGAAAACTGTGATGAAGTTTCTTTGTCGTAACCATCGAAAACCAAGGGAACACTGGTAAACAGAGACCGAGAAATAGTTGAAACAGCGAGCGTCGCCGGCGAACCTATCCAGAAGAAGGCGAAGACAGCATACCGAAAAAACGATGACAACCGTTTGTTTGCATCCACAAGGCTCAATCTACATCGACTACGTGGAGAAGGAAAAAACTGTTATAGAATTCTACTATAACGAATAATTGAGCTGTTTTGATTCCAAATTACAGAAAAAAACGCCATTGCTTAAGTAAACAAGAAAAAACGTTAACTTCGGTTGCACCGAAGCTATAATATCCTTCACAGATACAAAGGTTCCTTACAATAACTTGATTCCGATCTATGTTCGTGAAAATACCTCGTCAAATAAAAAAGTTTTTCATACAAGTACTTTACTCTGATCGTTCAGTTAATATGGCAGCTATATGCTAGTCATCCGATCTATACAATTTTTTCGGAGTTTGCATTGTTGCCTTAGAAAATAGCTCATGCCAAATTTCGTGAAGATATTATGTCAAATAAAAAAGTTTGCCATACAAGTACTTGATTCCGATTGCTCAGTTTGTATGGCAGCTATATGCTATAGTGGCCCGATATCGGCCGTTCCGACAAATGAGCAGCTTCTTAGGGAGAAAAGGACAGTTAAAAATTTCAGATCGATAGCTTAAAAACTTAGAGACTACTTCGGACAGACAGACGGACATTCTAAATCAACTCGGCTCATCATGCACATCATTTATGTATATATTTTATAGGGTATCCGACATTTCATTCTGGGTGTAACAAACTTCGTGGCATTCCACTATGCAACTCATCGGTTTCGCATTTTTGCTATCGACACCTTCAGATTGACTTAATTAATTAAGCTACAAAATTCTACCCCATCTACGGTGTTCTACAGATTTGACCCCGTAAGATTTCCTATTTTTCCTATTTGGAATTGAATGATTTTTCATTTTTCTTTGATATATTGTACTAACATAAATACCTATCGGACCACCCACGTAGCTTCAGTTGGAACTTGAGTACGAACCGTTGCTTAGATATTGTATCAAATGCTTGCATATAAATAATAAGGCGTTTCCAACAGTCAATCATTTAACCTCTAATACCTATTTCAATAAATTTTTTTCTTTTATTAGCGTTGTGAATATTTTATATATAATATGTATGTATGTAACTATTTCGAAGCATTTTTAATGCCAAATTTTAAGAAAGTACCAATTAATTATACATCTTTAGATATGTATATTTTCAATGAACTAAATACTTGCAAAATTATTTGATTTCAATTTGATTATTGTCCATAGTAAAAGCTTCTGGATATTCATTCTTTCTTCTGTTCACACCGAACATAGTATCCATAAATCTTACTAGCCATAAGGCAATTATAATAAGGCTCACTGCTATTAAGCCCGTTAATGCGAATCCAAAAATCTGTAAAAATAAGAATATATTTAAAATTTTTAACTATCGGATTCAATTGCTTAGCTAGAATGGACTCACACAATTATTAGCTCGAACAAGAAATTGGAAGATTACATCACGCCTGTTACCGCGTTCTGAGTTTCTTTCTAAATCAAGCATTACTAAGGAAAGTTTGCGTGTAAAATAAACCTGGAATTCGAAAAAAAATTTTACATTCGTAACAAGTCTTCGTTTAAGTGCCCGAAGTCATGTGGTATGGCGTGCGTCTTTGACTCAAAAAGTAGACCGTTAGAGAAGCGTATCAAACCGTAAATAGTAAAAGCTGACAAAATGCCAATGAAGAAGAATGTAATCTGAAATTTTAAAAATATATACATAACTACAACAACTCTTTCTTTTTGTTGCAATTGACAAACCTTTTGCAGAAGCGTTAATTCTTCTTTTTGCTTTACTTCCGGTGAACTCTGCTCTAGAGTCATGGTTGGATTTTAGTGAGTGAATTTATGTAAGATATTTTTCTGTTCTAAAAGTTATATGTTTCTGTAATAAAACAAATATGACTTTTTTCGTAAAGAAATGTTATCTGACATTATCTGAAATTGAAATTAAAAAGCATGATTGCATCATGAATCAAAGTATGAATTTGTTTTCATGAAATCATTGCCATATACATATGTAGAGTTGCCATTTATGGAATTTAAAGAGTGTTTTTTCTAGACGTATGGTTTTCAGTGAGGCAATATTTTTTTCGGAGTTTTTCGTTTGGACACCATAGTCAGTTTAGTTTGCCATTTTATAATGAACAGATTTACCACGGAACAACGTTTGAAAATTGTGCAAATTTGTTACCAAAACCAGAAAAAACGTTAACTTCGGTTGCACCCTTCACAAATACAAAAAATTCCTTACAAGAACCTGATTTCGATCGTTCATTATGTATGGCAGTTGCATGCTATAGTGATCCCATATCGGCGGTTCCGACAAATAAGCAGCTTCTTGGGGAGAAAATGACGTGTGCGGCGGTCACTTTCCAAACCTAGATATACTATTGTGTAGTAAATGTTCGTACAAAGCTACTGCCAAAAGTCGAACTCATAGTTTTTAGGTAGTGTTCTGCTTACTACTTCGTCGGTTTAAAAATAGCTAAGATTAAGACAAATGATAGATAAAGAGAACTTGAGCAAATGACTAGGTCGAAAGTCTTCAGCTTCCTGAAATTACTCATCGGTAAAAACAAAAGATATCGAACTTCATCAGTCGAGTGGTGGCTTTATTACTTGTCGGTCCAGTGTTTACAACACAGAAGGTTTTCAAATAAATAGCAAAGTATTTTTCAGATATGTTGTAACTTTGTAAATATTACATACATATAACTATATAGAAATCTCAAGATATGTCTACGTAAATATGTACTATGTGGTTTTTGAAAGTATTTAATTTGCCTACCAGCAAGCCAGTGTTGCAAGCCAAATCGAATAAACTTACACCTAAAGCTACATTCCTTTCACACAACCATATTTTTAGTCACCCATACATAAATAAAACATATGTATGTACATTTACGTATATATAACCGTAAGTGTATTCAAGACTTAGGCAACTGGAATTTTATTACTTTTGCTGCTGGTACGTAGGTGTCCGTGGTGTTGCTCCTTAAGGTTCAAACCGCTACATTAATTTGTAGTAACAGACGCTTTCACTTAGGTGGTTTGGCTAGCTTGTTTAATTTAAAAAGTTTTGCAAAATGTAACGTTTGTAGCCGAAATCACACTTTCACATAATAACCCAGTGAACAGTCAAGCATGGAGTAAAGAATATTGAGTTAGGTATACGTATAAAAAGCATGAGAGTTTTACTAATTAAATGGAGATAAAGTGATGGCAGAGTAGTGTTTTATAGTTCCACAATTTTTTTTTTTATAACCGTAAGGCTATGGAGAAGGAAAAATGGTTCGACGAGCATACCAATTCTTTCTTCTTATCCAATCGGAGTCAAAAACAAAAACAATGTGGTTTAAATACACGAAGCTTTCAGAATGGAATCCCTAGCGTACCTCTTAAAAGCAGCTATATTTCATATGCCAAATTTATATAGGTATAAAACACTATTAAATACGAGAATTACTTAGGGTAAAACTAAAAATATTATAATAACTTTTAGACTGGGTTAACAATAACTCATATAACCTATTCAATATTATTGAGCATACTGGTAGTACCTGGTTTCCTTCTTCAACGAAATTTCTTCCATATGACGGCATTTAAAGAGCTTATACCCTAAACAACGTTATTAATTATAATTTCTTTCAGTCAAAAAGATTAATGAAATCTTACGTTTTATTGCTGTAATACTTCAAGATCATTTAAATACCCCAGCATGTTTGGTCGGTTGGGTATTTTGCTGCAGGCACTGTCCTTAGCCTGCTGCTGTATACCCATATGTTATACGGGTATGTGGTTTTTAGTTGTTGCTATGTTGTGGTTGGGTAGGTAAATCTAAACTTAAGTAATTTCATTTGTAGTCCTTTACGATTAAACTGATTAGTAGTATATGACATTTAGCGGCTGTTCTTTTGTTAATTTGTTTCGATTTTCCAACACCAAATTTCATGTTGCAAACAATTGCACTAAACTAGTGTGGAGTTTACTCAATTTTATTATTACCGATCCGAGTAGTAGTTAGTATTTAGGAAAGGTAGGATTGTTTAGTGTTATGTATCACTCATTTTACAAGCCAAACTTCTAGGTTTTCT